TTATTTGCTTTTTTAGTACAGCGCCAATTGTTTTGGGTGAGTTTAGAGAAGGCAGCCTCGTGTGTTTTGCATTGCATAAATGATACGTTGCAGGGAAGGGATATTCACATTTCTGCATAACAGAATATAATTTATTTTGTGCTTCGATAATTAGGAAATGGTTTTGTGGAATGTATTCAAGACTCCTGGATTACAAATTTATAGTTTGCTCACTGTTAGAAAAATTGATTCAGAAACAGCTTTAGAAACCAGCACGCTACTGCAAACATGGTTTCAAATGTAGTACTGTGCTAGTGCAGGTGATGATACATATAGAATACTTGAGTGTCTTAATGTCATTGGCCACTTTAATTCTGAAATTTTAACAGCTTGGGGAAAAAAGTGTACATTTTGGAAAAAAAATATTAAAAATTTTTCTTGCAAAAATTTTGACAGGTAGGTGTAATTATATATAAAAGCAAATATGACATAGGGAATGGAATGTAAAAATCTTAGAAGATATGCAAGATTCATGGAAAATGCAAGAAAACAAATTCTGCACTGCTACGAATTACTTTTTGTGGGATTTTTTTAAGTATTCTAATTCACACTCTTTGCAGTATTTCAGATGTCTTTGGGTCTAAATTCCTAAATAAATAGTTCCAGCTCAGATCATCACTTTATTAATTCAGATTTTTTTTTATTTATTTCTTAATTTTGAAAGGTGCTGGGCAGCACTTGAAAACCCTTAGTTTTAATACTTGAAAATCAAGCTCCAGGTTGTTAGTCTGTTCTGATAGACATTTTGTGGTCGGCCTTTTCATCACTCTTGTAGACAGGATGGCTCAAATAATTGAGACATCTAGATACCTCTGATGCTGTGTTGCTCTCTGTTTCTGGATGCTAAAAGCATAATAAGGATTACAGGGATAGCAGATGGGCTGAATTGATTTATAGCAATATGACCTTGCCAATGTTTGCAATCTCATTGTGAGTATTGTAGTAGTCTATGTACCACTTCAACTCCTATCTCCCAGAGCAGTGTGAAAACTAACCTGGATTATGGATTTCTGTGTGGAAACTGTACGGCAGCACTCCTGCCTGTGAGTATTTTAGCAAAGAAAGACCATTTCTGGCTTTCCTGGTTGTGCAAGAGATTGCTGGTGCAGGCCAGCTGTACAGTGGATGTTAAATAAATAATTGCAGAGGACAACTTCTGTTTACTTTTTACATTGCTGACCTTATAATCAGGAATGTTTCGCACGGGATAGAGCTGACTTTGTCTGATGCAGGCCAATTCCCTGAGCACTGGACGGAGAATGAGAGCTTCATTCAGCTGCTTTCAATCATCTTAGAGCAGAGACCCCCCACGAGCAGGTGGGGGCTGCGTTTTGGTAACCTGAGGACGAACTGGGGTGGGAAGTGTGTGTGTATGAGTGGTGAACGGCCCCCACAAAATGTTTTAGTGCTATCTTCACTTTGTGTTTACACTTTCCAGTAGTTTAGTAAATCTCTGGCAGGGTTATTTACAAAAATGTGTTATCAAATACATAAGCATTATGTTTGTAGAAGAGAAAGAGGGAAAGAAACTTTCAAACCTGTGCATGCTGGCCTTGTGCATCTCTTATGTCGTGTATTTCGTAGCAGAACAGAAAACCTCAAATCTGGGTGTCTCTCTGAAAGATGCTTTATACACAGGTCTTCTCCCAACCTCCCATCTGCATATCTGGTTTTCCCACTGACCCATGAACAAGCCCTTCCTTCTTTGCCTTGATTAGATGATAAAATATTCTGTTTCTGCTGTGGGAAGCTAACTCTGCAACCTGAAACACCCTGAAATCTGGAAATTCATAACAGACATGGATTTTGAAGCTGTGGCTGTTCCCAAACCTATTGCTGCATGGGAGCCACTCTCCTTATTAATTCTGTCCCTCTATGAGTGGATTGGAGGCTGTGGCTTCTCCTTACAGCATTCATTTTCCTGCAGGTGAGGTTTCCTGCAGTCCCAGACCTTCCCACGGCTGGCTTGCAATCGGGGGATGAAGCCGATGGGTGCTGCTCCACAGCAGGGCCCACAGACTGTTTGTCTGAGGTGGCTGGTGTGGCTGTGCAGGGCATTCCTGGCCTTGCCTTCCCCATGCCTGGCAGCAGATCCCAGGAGTGAGAGCTGGGGAGCAGCAAGTGCCCAGGCCTGCTCAGCGGGGGGTGCTCTGACAGGGCACTACTTGTGTGCTGGGAGGTTCTTAAAGACAGCGCTCCGAATCTGGTCAAAATATGAGGCTGAGGCAGCTTCAGGGCTTGTGGCAGTGTCAAGTGAGATGTTTCTCTGGAGAGAAGGAGCCTGTGCCTCCATCCAGCAGGTAGCCAGCCGCCAGAGTTGGGAAGTGGCTGCAGCTGTTGGGATACTCTCGCTGCTGCGTAGGCTTGCAGCACAGTGGAATTCTATTGCTGGTAACAGGAGTCATCTGTGGCTCCTGAGCCTGAAAACAATATATGCTGCTGGCTTTTCTTTTTATTTTAAGACCACCAGGCAGTTCTTATTTGCATGCTCTATAAAACTTTTTAGAAGAGTTTTGCAACTTACTTAAAGAACAGGTATAGCCAGCTACAAAATGGAACAATCGTCAGGACTGTGGCAAATCCTTTGCAAGTACAACATAAGTCAGGACACTCCAGATGCTGGTGGCACAATAGAGCCCAGGCACAGGGTCAGACCATGTCCCCTTCAGCGATGACAATATGTGTCACAATGTGACATCCCCTGCTTGCTGAGCCCCTCACACCACATGGAACTCCTTGGTAGCTTTTATGGGTCCTCAGGATCTCACAGGTTTTTGGGGCTGGGGTTTCTGAAAGCTTCCATGTTGTTTTGACTGCCCTTGAACCCTGACTCTCATCCATAATCAAATTTACAGCAAACTGTGTTCTAAGTGCAAGTCAGAGGGTAAGCGATGGAAACCTCATGGGAAAACAAAAGGCACCTCAGCTCTGAAGCTGAGCACTGGTGTCAGCTTGTGCTGGCAGGGAGTGGTGTCATTACATAATGATGCACTTATCCAAACGGCGGTTTGTATTTTGGGAGACAGATGTGCCTTGCAGTTGCTAGTGGAAGTTAAATGTTAAATATGAAACCCATTCATTTTCTCTTAGTCATACTTTGGATTTAAGCAGATGTTTTCCTAATTTGTGGTTTTCAAATGTAGCATGCTGACAAGACATTTATCATTAACTACAACTTCATCCATGCAGTTTAGCAAATTGGCCAATTATTAACAGTGAGGGTTGTGTGATGCATAGCTCCTGCTACTTTGAAAGGCCTCAATTGAAACCCAATATGTTTTTACAATATAAATTAATTGAGCTTTGGACCACAGCCCTGTTGTGTAAGTGCTCTCTGCTCTCATTGTCAGAACGAACAGCCATTTGTAATGCACTGAGTAGCTGTGCTGTCTGTGAGCAGAGGTCCTGGTGGTGGAAAGGGAAAGATAACATTTTTCTGGTGGGGCATGGACATGGCTGATGGTATCCACATGTAGGCAGCATGACATATGGAGGGAGTGTGGCCATAGGGTGGTGTAGGTGCATGGAGACCAGGCTTGCTTTGCCACAGATGATGCAGGAGGCAACCTGAAGGGGTGCAGGGAGAGTGATAAAAGCAGGGTGGGTGCAGCTGCCTGGAAGTTAGTGCTGCCTAGTATTTTCCATTTTGCTTGCATGTAACTTTGCTAGACTTTCATAGAATCATAGAATGGCTTGGGTTGGGAGAGACTTAAAGATCATCTAGTTCCAACCCTCCCTGCCATGGGCAGGGACACCTTTCACTAGACCAGCTTGTTCAGAGCCCTCTCCAACCTGACCTTGAACACCTCCAGGGATGGAGCATCCACAGCTTCTCAGGGCAACCTGTGCCGGTGTCTCACCACTCACTTTACCCATATTGATTTATTTTTTCCTGGTTTATGTTTGCAAGGTTTGACAAGGTGGGAGGAGGAAAATTTGGTGGTGGTGCTGTGAAGTGGTGAGGTGTTCCAAAGGTGCTTCCCAAAGCAAGGAACCACCATGTGCCTGAAAATGTCATCTCCTATTTTCTCAGTTCTGGAATTCAAGCAGGCAATTTAGTAATCATTCATTCATCCCATGTATGGGACTTGAAGGAGAACACTGAGTGCACCTCTCATTTCTAGAAAGTATAAAGACCTTGATTTTTACCAGCTGGCACTGCAGAAATTTTGCCTTACATTCCAGCTGAACAGGGAGAACTCTTCAGGACAGTCTGTTCATAGTTGCTTCAGTTTCTGGCAGATAGTTCACTTTTTTTTTCCTCTTCTGTATTTGCATCTGCTCAACAGGGAATCTATATATTTTGTTATAGAACAGGCTGCTGTGGAGATTAATTCCATGAGAACTGTAAACAAAATAAATGCCTGTGGTATATTTATATTTTGCTTTATGCAGCCAGATGTGCTAGGTGTGAAGTACCTACAGGGCTGGCTTTATAGTCCCATTTAATGTCCTTTTCTTCACAACCTCCTGTTCTGTGGGAAAAGGGAAAAATGGTAACATCACAAAACCAGTCAGGAGCAGTGATGTCTCAGCAGGGAGGCTGGAGGTTGCATGAAGTGCAAAAAGGGGAAAAATTGTTGATTGGAAGATGGTGTGGGAGGGTCCGTGTGGCCTGTTCCTGGTCTGCATTAAAAGCATAAGCCCCATGGGTACTTAAAATGAGCTGAAGGCCTGATCCAGAAGTTGATGAGGGATGCAATGAGGGCTTTAAAGTGAGATCTTCGGCATAGTTTTCTCCCCTATGAGCTTTGTAGCTTTTTGATTGAAAGGGATGCAGCAGCAGATGTGGAGGGGAAGATGACTTGTTATGGATACGTTCTCAATCACCCTCTTGCTTTCCCTGAGTTTAGGTAAGCTAAATCTCTGGAAGCAGCTGTGTATCCCTGGGCTTCAAGATGAGACAAGTGTAGGTAGATGTGGGGGTGAATTCGGCTAACCCAAATCCTTATCCCTTGCAGTGCTGCCAAGCTCCTGGAAAAGAGCCCGTTCTCTGTTGGCGCCCCGAGCCCCCTGCTCCCCTCGCCAGCGAGCCTGCAGCTGGCCCAGCTCCAGGCGCAGCTCACGCTCCACAGGCTGAAGTTGGCTCAGACAGCCGTTACCAACAACCCAACTGCTGCCACCGTCCTTAACCAGGTTCTCTCCAAAGTGGCCATGTCCCAGCCACTCTTCAACCAGCTGAGGCACCCCACCGTGATGAATGCCCCACAGGGCCACGCCGCGGGGCCGCCGCAGGGGCCCGGCATCGCCGGCACGAGGTTCCCCTCCAGTGGCATTGCCTTTCCTGCCCAGAGCCCAGCCTTAGCCACGCCAGGGAGTGGCCTGGGGCCTGTCCAGGCCCAGGCCCCCAATGCCATCGTCATGAGCCCCTTTGGAGGTGTCATGGCTCCAACCTCTGGCCAGCAACCCGTGGTGGTGGGCCTCAACAAGGCGGGTGCCTCCACGTCCGCCGCTGCAGGGGGCTTTTATGAGTACAATAAGCAAAATGCCGCCACGGCCACCCCTCAGGCGTACGCCTCAGAGGGCGACCAGTCCAGCCAGCACAGCTTCCTCGCTGGTGGGACCCACACCGCTGCCTCGGCAGCAGGGCCACGCTACGAGGGTCACTTCGGGGCTCCCAGCCAGCTGCAGCACGAGGCGTCGGCAGCATTTCCCAAGGAGTCCTACGGGGCAGCAGCACAGCACGGGGCAGCACGGGCCTTCCCCAGCGACCCACACACCAGCTCCCATTCAAAAGGAGATCCCGGCCCCGTCTTGCATGGCAGTGGTACAAGCAACCAGTGGGAAAACATCCCTAATTTCCCCAGCCAAAACAAGCCTGACCTCATGCCCAGCGACAGCCTGTGGCCGTCAGCGAGTCAGCAGCAGTATGAAATAAGAAACGAGCTGTACAACCCCGAAGAGCCGACACCTGACACAAAGTTCAGCGCGGCCGCCCCCCCCGCCTTCGGCCGCCTCAACCACAGCACACAGAGCTTCGGCAGCCCTCGCATGAGGCAGAAGGAGGAGCAGAGCAGCAGCGTGCCCGACCTGACCACTCGCTCCCTGCCGCCACACCAGCTGGGTGACCTCCGTGGCGTGGCCCCTCTCCACTTCCCCCACGTCTGTGCCCTGTGCGACAAGAAGATTTTCGATCTGAAGGTGGGTGGTTTTAGGGTGTCCCTGGGGCACAGCTCGGACCCTTGAACAGGCTACAAGGTGGCTGATCTGGCCATCAGCTCCTGCCACCCCTCGCTGCCAGTGTCCATCACAGCCAAGGTGCCCTGAGAGAAGCAGAGACAGAGAGTCATAAGTCGGCTTAGGGTGTTGTGCATCTGTTTCATGGCAGTTACTGGGGTTTTGAGATCTGGTTTTGTTCCGCATCTTGCCGTGAAAGATGGTGAGATTACAGCGCTGGCATGAGGTCTGGGCTGAGGTCACAGCTCACCTCATGGGCCCAGAGCGAGGCGGGGAGGAGCTTGAAGCTGATCCCCCAATTCTCAAACCACTGTTGTAACCCCACGTCTGCAGTTTCATCTGCTTCTCCCTTTCTGATCCCAAGGGCTTCTCCCTAAGAGCTTTGTGGAAGCAGCTTGCTTACACAAATCAGCACATTTTTTGATAAAATTATTTTAATAATTCCTCTGTTGGGATCTCTTCCTCCTAGTATGTCTCAGGAAAATTTAGGGCTCAAGGTCCGCAGCAACTTTGGCCTGGAAGCAAAGAAGCTGCTCAGGACATGTGGTGCACCCCGTGTTCCTACTTCTCTGTTACACTGCCAAGGGAGCTGCAAGTTCAACTTCACCCTCAAGAAGCAGCTTCCCAGATCCCCAGAGAGCCTGTGGGCTAAGTCATGTTATATAGATCAGGTCTGGAGATGACCACTTTTGTGGCCCTCTGAGCCCCACAGCTATCCATGGGCTTTGGCTGGTGTTGTTCTGCTTTCCCGGTGAGCCCTGTACGAGTCCCTGTGACCTTTTCTATCATATCACAGGACCAGCACCTAACCACAAAGGCATGTATTCTCATGCTCGTGGTGGCCTGACAATAAAATGACAACAACATGTATGTAGAAAGGAAAATGGACAGCAAATGAAATAGTACCTGATACTTACATACCCTGGGGCTTTGGGATATTTGAATATATTTGCTTTCAGCTTTCCCTTTTACTCTTTTAACAACTGCTTGCAAAAGGGTTTGCTGTGATTACTGCAGCTACAGGGCTGGGCTGAAGTAGCCCCTGTGTAGGGCATGCTGGGCATTTCTTCTTTTCATTAAACATTTAGAAAGAGCAGGGGAAATGTTATTACAGTGAGTTTCAGTGGGTCTGTTAGGTGGTGTTTAATGCACTGCCTCAGTTGGATCATAGAAGTGTAAATAGCTGAATGTACCTTGACAAATGCTGCTAATCTATTGAAATAATAAGCAGCGTTGTGGCTGCCCCGAGTACTGAACACCTTCTTTATGGACATTGCAGGAGTTGAGAGTGCTTAGCATCTTGCAGGATGAGCTCTTCAGCTAGAGTGAAGTAACTTAATTAATTGAAATATACTGAATTTAAAAGTAAATACAGAGAAGCTCTGCTTTTGTAAAGTAACCTATAATTCAACCTACAAATAATGAAAATGCATTGGATGAATAATAATGCTTTGGATAAATAATAATGCATTGGATGCTTGGCTCCAGCATCACATGGTTTGATCTTTAGCATCTGAGTATTGGTTTTAGAATAAGGTAAACTGAACAGAGGAATAATCTCTTTTAAATTTGTCTCAGGATTTTTCCCATGCTCATCATTTCTTTGTTTCAACATAGGACTGGGATCAGCACATTAAGGGAAGTCTTCACATCCAAAAATGTATGGCTTTTTCAGATAAGTAAGTATTATTTTAGAGTCACTCTTCAAACTGAACTGCTAACAGAGCGTCGCTTACTTCAGTGGCTTTACACTGGGAATTTGCTGCCTAATAATTAAGCTTGAATATTTATGGCACATTATGCATGCTTCTAAAATTCTTTTCTTTCTTTTCCAGCACTGGTATCCGGTGTATGTTAAGCTCAGCAGATGGAACATTGCATTTATCACCAAATAATGCAGCAGTTTTCAATCCACCTAGTATCGAAGGTAAATGGTTGTATGTGCAATAGTTAAAAACAATTCTTTTATTTGAAAGGGAATTCACTTTCTGGGGAGAAGTGGGCTTTTTAAATGAAAAGTGATAAAAGTTTCCAAGGAAAAATTTTGAGAGGTTGTGCACAGAAAGGTTAAAAGCCAATACTGTGCCTTTCTAAGTATGAATTTATTTTTCTTTCAAACAGTGACTGTTTTTTACAGTACAACAAAACAGTGTATAATTTGGTGTAGAGGCTATGAAATTACTTACTATGTAAATGGGGCACTGCTTATTGAGCACATTAATGCAGTTGATATTAGTCAAGATTTTCATGTGTGTAATCCATTATTTAGATTATCCACCAAATGTCGGCACATCTTTTATCACTACGCCAGCAAGATCCTTTGGCCAGCCAGGTCCTACATTTTCTTCTCCTCCATCAGGGGTAAGAGTGAGTACCTAAGCAAACTGATCTCTGTGTCAAGGTTCTTGTAGAAGTCACTTCTGCTTACTGGAATTTAAACCCCAAGGGCTTCCTTTCAAACAATAATCTGAATATTCAGTCTGTTATTTCAACTTCCCTGCAGCTCTTTTATGCTTTTGATTTTGGCCAAATATGAGTTTGATTGTAGTTTTCGTTTTGTTTTGTTTCTTTTCCAGTGCTAAAAGTTGTTTTCTTATCAGGGAGATTTGGGCAGCTGGGTGAATGGTTTTGTGGGTATCCCATTGACCTTTCTCCCTCATTTTCTGAGTCATTTCAACCCAGGGAGGTCAGCTTCAGCTTGGAATGAATATTTGGATTAGTCTTTAGTTACTCTCAGTATCTATCCCATTAAGCAGCCTTCTATTTCTCTGGTTATTTATTTATATCAATTGCTCTCTGCCTCTCCCACGCTGGGGTCCTTCTCCCGGGTTGCAGCAGTGGCAAAGATAGTGGCTGCAGCTTCACTGTTATTCCCCTGGAGGTTCCAGATCAGTTCATTATACTGGACTAACTTCTCCTTAGCTTCTTTTAGTGTAGTATTTATAGCATCTGCTGCCACTGCTGGCCTATCAGCAAGTTTGCTTTGGTGTAAAGCCTTCCATGGTTTAGGTGTACTGGTCCCCACCCTGCATTCAATACAGGTCCCCAGTTATATTGCTCTAATGCACGCTTGAATTCCTAGCTCTAATCAAAAAATGCCAGAAAAAAACCCCCAACATTAGAAGTGGTTCTTACACTAACAAAACAGAAAGATTTTAGAAGGGAAAAAAAAAAGGCAAATAAAAGCAAATCATATTCATAATGAAAATACAAAGTTGTTAGGTTAAAATTAAACTCATCACATATCAGAAAGCTGCAGCTAAAGCTGGAGACACCAAGAACTTATGTTAGGGCGTTCATGGAATAGCAGCAGTAATCCAGGGGTTCAAGTTTTCACCTTGTTAGCTTTTGTGTATATATCCTGATGTGGTCTCAGACACTCTGAAAAGCAAGGCTGAGTTGTGTCCCTGTGCCACTCCGGTTTGCAACAGGCATTGCTTACAGGAAGGTCACCCAGATTTCCTTAATCCAACCAATTTTGTACCGTGCAGTTTTACTGCGCAAGAGGTTATTTGAAGGGGTTTTAGTTTCTGCCTGTCACAGACACTGTGTGTGCAGGGGAGCAAAGAGCAGAGCTGCTCATGACAGCTGCCTCCAAGGTCAGAGGTGGAGTAGCAGCGGGTGCAGAGGAATGTTCCTTTTCATCATGTCTGTCAACTTCTCAACAAATGAAATTACTGCTAATACCAGTGTCATTTCTCCTTAGAATCTGTCACTATTTATCATTTAAGCTGCCTGCAGAAATCCTCCTCCTGAATGACCTGCAGTATTATGAGAGATAAAAGAAACAATAACTTTGATTTTCCTGTAAATCCTCTTTTTCTTCAGAAGCTCATCAGATGAACAGGGAGCTATATTAGAGGTGTTAAGACCGAGTTTGCCAGCTGTCATTCACTCTGCAACCCAGGTGGCTTATAATTTATTGCACCTTTGCACGGTAGTATTCACTTTCAGCTAAGCTGCTGCCATTTAACTGAGCAGTGGGAGATTATACTTGACCCTGCATGTAATCATAAACAAAGTGTTCAGATTTCTGGAAGGGCTTGCTCTGTGCTGTCCATCTGCAAATAACTCTATCCGTCTTTAAAAGGCAAATGCTGCCAGTCTTCACTCGGGTATGGAGAGACATTAGCACTGGGGAGATGAGATTGGCCATTTCTTATTGTCTTTAAAAAAATTCATGTGAAGCTTAAGAAAGGGATAAAGAACTTGAAAAACAAGAAGTAAACAAACAAAAAAAGCTGTAATAATTTGGTGAAATAATATTACAAATTATATGAGGTGCATTTCACTGCTGTGCATCTTTTTTTTTTTTTGTAATATCATTGGTAAAAGCTGCATTGGTAAACCCCCATACACATCAGTTACAAAGCAAGTTAACTTAGAATCTTATCGAAAAATGCCTTCAACACTTGTCACGCAACAGCTCCTTTAACTTCCTGATTGTGGATTTGGAAGCTGTATATTCCTTTTCTGGCTGTGATTTACAGCCCTATTTAATGAATAGATCCAATTTAACTGCAATCAGCTGACAAGATCATTGCTTGATACAGCCTGTTGACTTCTGGCATGAGTATGTGACCACTTCTTAATCATGAATTACAGCAGGTTTATGGCATAGCATTTTAATTTAAGCCATTGCCAATTGTGGGGAAGTGGTAGCAACTTACATGTGGTAGCAACTTAATGTACTGAGGACTGTGTGTTGGAACATGGGCTCTGGAGCCAACGTAGAGAACAGCCAAGTCTAGTCCCATAGACTCTTACACACTATCTTTTATCAGATCTAACAAAATAAACAGAAGATGCCCAGTAACCTGGGGTGTTTGTGCACTGGGACTGCATTTGCTGTCTCCTTTTCCTCTGCTGGCTATAGTTGTGTTCTTCTGTTCTGTGCTACATGCTGCCATGCCAGATACATACAGACATCACTTCTGTTCAGTGGAGTTGAGTTGCTTCATCTTTTTCTCGGGATCAGATCTTTGTTATTTTTCTGCTAGAGAAAATATCTTACTTATGGACTTTTGCACTTCTTTGACTTACCTTACACACCTGGGCAGGCTCTGTGAGATGCAAGCTAAGTAGCAGACCACTGTATAATGCAGGGTCTTGCTGCAGCAAAAATACACAAATGGTTAAGTGGTGAAGCCTGGAAGGAAGGCAATGAGACGAAGGTGTAAATAAGATAACATTAGCTCTGTAACTTGTGAACTTGCTGACAAGCCAAACATTTGCGATGGCTCTGGTGAACTTGATCCCACAAGATTACATGATTTGCATCTTCCCTTGAATGGCACAATTTTAATTGAAGGTAGAGTTACTTCTCCAGCAAAATCCTAACAGCAGAGGTCATAAACATGGAAGTAGTCTGGAAAGATTTAATCCCATGTGACTGATTTGTTGCTTGTCATTAGCTGGGGTAAATTAACTTTCTGTCTGGGTATACCCTGATGCCTCTTTGCATAGAGAGTGTAGAGCTTGCTTTCCATGTCAGAGAGATGGGCAGTTCTCTGGGAACTGCCCCAGCACTCTAAAATAGACTTCCACCCTTGGAAAGCAATTACCACTCCGGTGCTATGGGCCTGTGCCAGCCCAGTTTGGGAGATGTGGTCACTTGTCAGTGACCAATTTGGGAGACGTGTCCAGTGGTGACTGTGCCCCCAGGGCAGAAGTCCCTCCTACTGCGTGTTGTTGCAATGAGAGGGGAAAGTAGAACGTTTTCTGACTCGAGGTAGAGCTGTGTGTCCTCTCACGAGTTAAATGAGATCACTTTTACCCCTGGCCCAGTCTTTTCCACTATGGCAGAAGAAAGATTTAAATTCAACCCCTGCCGTCCTGAACACCTCTGTAGTCACCTAAACTGATTTCTGACATCCATAAATTCAGCAGGGACTGCAGTGAGCAGTTAGTTTTTACAGCAATATCATTAATCCTATTTGAAGGGGAGCATCTCCTCTAGAAATCCTCTCTGGACTTTGTAAATATCCAGGGATGGAGACTCCATTGCAACCTGCACTGCAGTTAAACATGTATTTCTAAACATTTGTATTTCTAAACCAGGATGTTAAAATGCAAGTTTTAAAAGAAGAATATTTGTCCTTAATAACAGGTACACAGAGCAGAGCATTTTTTGCAAAAATGTAGTATCTAATCTAGTAGATTGAATATCTAAGATAAAAACATTGGTTTGAGTTGGTTTTTTTCCCAGTTTGCCCAGAGGAAATCTACACTGGGTCGAGTTGTTCACATCTGCAACCTCCCTGAGGGAAGCTGCACGGAGAATGATGTCATTAACTTGGGCCTCCCATTTGGAAAGGTCACCAACTATATCCTCATGAAATCCACTAATCAGGTACTGTGCATTTAGGGCACCAGTATTGACATCTGTTGGCTTGAGACAGAGTGTTTGGGGAAAATCTCTTATTTTATAATAGAAAGTTATATATATAAAGCCTACTCCTAAAATAAAAAAAACAGTTGGTGTTCACAGAATGAGATGACAACAGACACAAACATGGCCACTGCCTCATAGTTCTTGTTAAAAAAAACAAAACAACAGAAATCTCAATGGAGAAGTGTTGTAAAACTGTGCTTTTAATAATATTTTTAAAGGGAATAACTTGGCTGCCTTCTCTTAGCCATTTAGTAGGGTTACTTTCAGACTTGTCTTATTCTTCATGGTAGCTTAAGTCTGCCCTAAGTAACTTAAGTGTACCAGTGGTGTAAGCTGGTAAGAGTAGAATATCTTCTCTCACATACCTGCAGCAAACAATATGGTTGGATGTAGAATCCACACCAGTGGTCAGTGTTTGAAATTGTAATGTTTCAAAATAACTGAATCACAGAACGGTTTGGCTTGAAAGGGTTTTAAAGACCATCTGGTTCTAACTCCCCTGCCATGGGCAGGGACACCTTCCACCAGACCAGGTTGCTCAGAGCCCCATCCAGCCTGGCCTTGAACACTGACAGTCAAGAAAGATTAGATACCAGTCATTCAGTTTTTAACTAAACTGGCTTCTAAAGTCGCATATTGGCTTTAAGAGCTGGTTTGAAAACATTTCTTGCAGTTAAAAGAAGGCTGAGAAAGGGACCGAATGTTACTGTTTCAGCTTCAGGGCTGGAAAGCTACTCAGTTTTGTACTATCAAGACGTTTTGCAGAGGAGGAATCTAAAGGAAACTTATTTTGCTGCCTTTTCTCTCTTATACTTCGTATTTTTAATAATGTAATAGATTGTAAAGTTCTCCCCATTTGTGCTAGGCCTTTCTGGAAATGGCTTACAGTGAAGCAGCTCAAGCCATGGTGCAGTACTACAAAGAAAAACCTGCTATGATAAATGATGAGAAGTTACTTATTAGGATGTCTAAAAGATACAAGGAATTGCAGCTGAAGGTAAGATAGTTATTCCTGATCAAATTTTCTGAGTTTCTGTGGCATGTCCTGGAGAATACATCTAAAAAAAAAATCTTTGCTGATTACTGACTTCTAATTGAAGCTTTATTATTATGGAAAAAGAAATTAAGAAAGATAAATTAACAAATATATTTTAATGATATTTTATACTTAACTGCTTGGTTTTGTTCTAAATTTTAACTCTTGGAAGAGACCCCATTTTCTCTAGTCCACTCAAACCATTTCAAAAATCCCTTCTGAGTTTCCCTCCCCACATTGCTTGCTCTAAAAAAGGTCTAAAACACAGCCATGTGTAAGATACAAGATGTCAGCAAAATAAGGTTGTCTGGTCCTTTTAGTCAGGCATTAAGCCTGAAGCAATGTCTTTTTCACTGCTTGCATGCTTGAGCCATAGTACAATCTTGATACCAAGCAGTAATGACCAAACAGCACATTGGTTTCTTTTTATTTCCTTCTTGTGAATGACCTAAATTAAAAAACACAATTTTCTTTTTTTAAATAGAGTCAGAACAGAGCAATAGCCTTTAGACTTTATCTGTAGTGTGTGTGACACTTCTGTTGTAGACATCTGGGTGATGTCCAAAAATCACTGCTCTTGTGAGCATATTTATGAAGGCTTATCTACTGCCATGTGTAGTGCTAAGAGGGTATTTTTATTTCATGGTAACTTGGACCAGAACTGGTAATGCGGAGCTTAAAAGCTCCATATTGTATTTACTAACATGGCACGAAGTTATTTTATAAAACAGCTCTGTAATGTTCCAATTTAAGAGGCCTTTTATGAGCCTTGAGGAAAAACAAGGAACTCAGATGGTTTGGTCTAACCTTTGGAAAAGTCTCTTTCTCTCTTGTATCTGTATAATGGTTTAAGGAGACAAAGGAGTTGCCAGAAGTTCATAAACCAGGGCAGTCTTTCCAAGTGTGGTACATTGAGGGATTCAGATGTTAGGTGGTGGAGGCTGTGCATCTTGATGTAGAGGCAGGAGTTACCGAGGAGAGGTGGTGGTTTGCCTAGATTTCAGGAAGATTTTTCTGCTCTTTCAATGGCAGTTTTTTCAGGTTATGGAATTACTTTGCTCTGCATGAGCAAGAAAGCAAACAAATAAAAGCACAGTGTAGAAGAGGGTATATGCATGAGCTATTTACCACTACAAACTGCTGAGTTCCTGCATGATTATGTTGCTCAGCTGTGCATGCTCCAAGTGTTTGACAAATTGCATGCACTCCAGCCTGTGTAGTGCATTCTTCGTAAATGATCTTGAATTTTGAGTAATCAACACTGTAGTACACATCTTTCTTGCACTTGGCTTTTCTGAAGCTCTCCTATCTAAGCATGGTCTTCTAGAGCTATACCACAGGATGAACTGACTCCGAGATGAAGATAAAGCAGTTCATTCCCAGAGGATGAGAGATAGGCTGCTATACATATTTAATTCCATACTAGAAAAATTGTCTGTTTTGTTTCCTCTTAGATCCAGTTCCTAGAAAATTCTCTGTAGTGATTGTGTAATAAGGAAGGACGAGCCAGTTTTCAAAGCCTGTCATAGCAGCCAAGTATGAGGAGACAGTGCTACAACGTAATGGAGCAAACTTTCCATTTGTATCATTTTACCGCTTTGATCGTGTTATTGAGAAACCAGCTGCAGAAGAGTGTAACCACAACACTGAAACTAAATATTTCTGAGCAATAGTATAATTGAATGCATGGATACTGTTCCTTGAAGGACAAATCACATATATTAGCTTGGAGTAGTGCAGCATGCTAAGCAGTTTCTTTGTTTTTGTTAGAAACCAGGTAAGAATGTGGCTGCTATCATCCAGGACATCCATTCGCAGAGGGAGAGGGACATGCTGCGTGAAGTGGACAGGTAAAGTTTCTCCACAGTTTGGAACTGGAAGTCTGTAAACCTGTAGGTAGAAGCAGCATTATCCCTGTGCTTCCCTCTCTTATTTCATTTGCTTTCCTAATTTGAATTTCACTTATAGAATAGTGTGTATTTTTATATAGTCCAATGGTAGGTACAGGACCTGTATAATGAGATCAGATTGAAACTGTGCATGTTATGAAAATAAAAGATCTCTTTCCTGCTGATGATGATGACTCAGAAAGTACGCCTGGCATGTGAAGAACGCAGAAATGAAGCTGTTCCACTCTCCTCCCTGTTGAGTGAAAAGCGTAAAGGGTGGGGGTGCTGTGAGACCTGCTGGGAAGGAGTGGATTCAGATTAAAATGTATTTGGGTACATTTCTGATCTGCCTGACTTCTGGACCTTTCAGCAAAATTGGAGAGGAATTACAGTCCTAAAACATCTCTTTTAAACAGGTGGCCATTGTCACTTTTGTGTCAGAGATGCCCTAGCTGAGTGAGTATTCAGGGTGCAGACATTAGGGTCATTGTAAAGGTATTAACATATTATAAGCTTTTAATGCTAAACCCCTATGAGATGCTTTTAAGAATGAATGAATATATTCTTGACAGTTCTATGGAGATTTGGTTAAGCTCTGTGGATATGACACTGCCTTTTCTCCTATTCACTGTGTTTGCAGCTGTGCAGTGCATGTCTGTGAAAGGCCTGGGGTCTCAGGTTCACAGTCCCCAGGGCAGTCCCCATGAGCTTCCAGCGTACAAGAACTTGGTAGTCAATAGTGGGTCAGCCAGTTAACAGCTGCCTTTTCCCTCTGCAGCAGGTATGGAATGGACAGGCCCCGCTCTCGCAGTCCCATCAGCCGCTCTCTGTCACCCCGATCCCACACTCCCAGCTTTACTTCCTGCAGTTCACCACACAGCCCAATGGGGACCAGCAGGACTGACTGGGGAAATGGGAGAGAGGCATGGGATCAGTCCCCGTATTCTCGACGGGAAGAGGAAAGAGATAGCAGAGAATGGCGAGAGAATGGGGATGAGAAGAGGGACAGGACTGACACGTGGGTACACGAGAGGAAACATTATTCCCGACAGCTGGACAAGTTTGATTTGGATGAACGGCTTGAAGGAGGCAGAGGATACCGAGAAAAATACTTACGGACTGGTTCCCCTGGCTCCCTTCACCCTTTATCTGGCTACAAGAACAGGGAGGATGACTATTACCGAAAATCCTCTAAGTCAAAATCTGACAAGTTTCAGAGGCAGCAGCAGGATGTACCTGGGAGATCTAAGAGAAAGGAAGAGGCAAAGTTAAGGGAACGCAGGCATTCTTACAGCGACGACACTGCCAGGGAGGAGGTGGCTGAACAGAAGCACGGCAAAGCATTTGAGGGCTCCAGGCAAAAACAAAGTGAGAAGAATAAGGCGAAGAAAGCCGAAAAAGACGAAGAAGAAGATGCTACTGCTGAAAGCAGTGATGTGAAGGAAACCAAACCACCAGAGAATGAGGTAAATAGAGATCTAAAAGTGTATTTAAAAGAAAGTAAATGCTGAAGTAATATATTTTCTGAAATATCTTAGAGCATATGTTGTAGGTGTTGTGCCACTGACATGAGATGTTTTGCCATGATAAAATCACAGAATATAGTCCTAGAAGAGACCTTTGGAGGTCCTCTTGTCTGTGTCTTTGCCCAGATCATGCAGATCTGTTAACGCATTGCAGTGTTGGGTATACTGTCGTTCTGTGTCAAGCACGGAATCTTTGGGTAACCACTTAGGGGATAGGGACAGACAACTGAAAACAAAACCGAGTGACAGTGTGCTGTTTGCATGCAGGTTGTATGTGCAGGGGCAATTGCCCTCCTGCTCTCTAAGTCTGTGCAGAATACCCCATAGCTGCTCTCCATAACCTCCTTCCACTCAATAAGGATTGAGTTATCTGAGAATTAAGTGATATTTTACAGAGGTGCGCAATATTTGTAGGATGATACGTGGAAATGGTTGTTTCACTACTAAAATGGGGAATGAACTTTCTATGAGGACGTTTTCTTTCTGGATAACTCAACAGAGGAATTGGTTTCCATTAATCATATGTCCCTACTCTCAACTGTGGTAGGGATAATTCACACCACTCCTTTCAATGTGCTGGCAGGAATCTTCTCCCATGGCAGAACCACTGAATCAGCTTACCTATAAAATTACGGGATCTCTGGAGAAATACTTCCAGTTGTAAGGTGGCAATGTTTGTGGATTTGATTCTCCACTGGGAAGAAGTGGGAGGGGGAACAGATCAAGATGCCTCATTTGCTCAGTCTCAGTACAGCCCATACTCATATCCCCACCCTGTGGGGATCTGGTTACTGGCTCTTGGCCACCTTGCCTCCCCCAGCTCCCACTCAGTGATACGCTGCTGCCATCCACCCCCAGGGCTGCTGGCACGGGAGGCTGCAGAGCTGCTTGGCTGACCAGGGCTCCATTGTCGGTTGTTTTCAGCTGACCTTGCGTTTGTTCTTCTCATGTGAGGGCAAAGTTGATGGAAATCTCTAGATTTATAACTCCACTGGTCTGTACCAGCTGCAGCACTACCTCATGCCACAGATATGTGTGTTTGTACCACCTTTTATCATCTTTCTCCTTTGGCTGATATTTCACTGTGGCGTATGGTTCCTTGGGAGGAGATGTCAGAGAGAAATGTCAGACAGCATCCTAAATCACCAGTGTTGCACACTCCTCTGCATGTTTTTCAAGTTATTTTACAGTAGCTTTGCTAAAGGCATACCTCTCCAGGGACTACTGCTAGTAATTTATTTCATAAGGTAGAAGTAGTTTTGAATGTCTTGAACTCACATGTTGCTTTGCCCCTCTTTTACTAACTGCCAGGTAGTACTGTGGTTTTGTTCTTCCAAATTATGAACTGAGCAAGCAGTTGAATTCTCAACTGATCCTACATCAATGAACAAAACTATTGAGGTCTTCTGCAGAGTTTTGACACTGATGCTCTCCTTACCATGTCTGAGCGAACATAACAGATACGTAGAGAACAGAGGAGTGGAGGCTGGAAATTTTAATGAATTGACATTCTCCCCCACCTGTCTTCTAGCCAATTCTGTGATATAAATTACACCTCTCTAATTTTGTTTAAAATTCTTATTCTTATTTGTGCAGCTCTGCTAATGGAATCTAATTGTCATGCCTTTTCTCACAGCCTAGTTGACTTGCATAAACTTTAGAAATAAAGAATATGACCTTGTGAGTGACTTTGATTCTCTAAACCCAGAATAGAAACATACTAGAGCACCACTGTGTGTTGCTATACATGTATATGTATTTATTTTAGCTTGAAAAAGAGGAGCAAGTTCCAGAGGAGAGCTCACCTTCAGATAATAAACAAGGAAAAGAATCCGGAGAGGTTCTGGAAAACACAAGAAAAGAGAAGGTCGGTGACACATTGTTAGTGCAGCTATATGACCAAATGAGTAAAACCCCAGGTTTGGTAGCACATTTTCCCAAATGAAATATTAACCCCCCCATGAAGAAACATGTTAAGGGGTTGTAGAAGGAGGCTGTCTAAATTAACTTGCCTTATCTTGACCTCTGCTTTAAGGGACAGCTTTTCCTGAAGTCTCCAGAACTCTTTTTTTAGTTACTCTTTGCCCATGTACATTGCTTCACATGCACAGCCCTTGGCACTGGCAGCTGTAAGGAACGTATGCCCAAGTGAACCGTGGAACTTTGCAAACCATGCCCAAAAATAGGAGATGGAGTCAGTTAGCGGAGAAAGAGGGGACTAATGATGAATACTTTTCAGAGCATTGGCCCTATGAACTATAGATAGTAGCCTCTTCTGATTGTTTCTGGTTTTAATTAAATAATGCCTTTACAGAACCCCTGCTACTGCATCACGGTCAGGGAGAGCAATGTCCTTGGAATTCCTCCAGCTTCATATCTGTAGGGTCATGGGTTGATGGTCAGATATGGAAGCTATTGATATCTGTTGCTGTAGAAAACTGATCTCCTGGCAAGAACAGTGTCAACTCCCAGAGTTTTCATGCTGTTTTAGGATTCTAGGAGGGGAAGTGTGGGAATGGCCAAACAGGAGGAGAATACGGATTATTAATAGATTATGTGTACACAAGGAGTCTGGGAGTTGAAACCTAAGCTGCAAGTGTGTCTTAGAAGCAACATATACCTTTTAATTCTAAGACTTCTGAAGTCCAGTATTAGTGTCTGAGTCCTACAAGTCCATAACCACATGAATGAGGTATTTCAGAATATGTACCTTGGAGTATAATTGTAAACCTGATTTTTCTGAAGGCTTAGGCCAATCTCTACCAGCACAGTCCCTGGCAGAGGACTCTTGCTGGTGGAAGGAAATGACTGCAGAAGGAAGCCACATCCATAGGAATTAAAAGGACCTAGTCCAGCCAAGTGAAAACCCCAGCGACTCGACTGGGGTTCAGTATGTTTTCATTGCACTGATATGGAGGTCGAGGAAAGGGAGAGGTTCTTTTCCTTGAGTATCACACAATAGCATCAGTTGCATAATAAAGTGTAACAGGTTGTGCCTTGCTCTACTGCTTACAGAAAAGTAAGAAGCAGGAGACTGGAGAGAATGTAATCCCCAAAGCAGTTACAGAATCTCCACAAAGTGAAGTTTATGTGATAATTCAGTAGAGATTGCTTGTCCTTGTGCATAAGGTTCAAAATTACAACACTCAGGCATATTGTTCTTTGAAATAATAACGCAAAGAGGGTTAGGCATGGCCAGACCAAGTTTCTTCCTGGTTTCAAAGCCCACTTTTTAACAGTGTTGATCTATAATCACCAATCTCTCAAATGTTTGTGACCAATCTCTCATCTTTGTGACAGGACCGAGACTGGGAGAGTGGAAGTGAAATAGAAGGTGAGACCTGGTATCCTGCTAACATGGAGGAATTAGTGACAGTAGATGAAGTGGGAGAAGATGATTTAATTATGGAGCCTGATATAACTGAGCTTGAAGAAATAGTACCAGTTGATCAAAAAAATAAAGCTGCTTCAGAAATGTGCCCCTGTATGTCAACTGTGTTAGAACTGAAAAACAATCACAGCCACTTAACCAGGAGTGAAGACAAATGTGCCCATAAAGCTTTAGAAACAAATTTGAGAACAGCAAAGGGCAGTGCAGCTTCTAGCGGCTGTCAGGATGATGAGGAGGATGATGGTAATGATGATGCTGTAACTGAAGCATCAAGCCTAAATCTGGACCCTGAACAGAAGCCAGAGGAATGGAAAGAAGACCAATCTGCTAAGGAGTCTGATCCCCAGCAGAAGGAAGGAAAAATTGATAAGAGCTCTGACACACATTTAGAGCCTGAAGATCACCATATACCTTCTGTTCATCTGAAAGAAGAGACTCTCCAGCTCTCTGATGCATTTATAGATGATTACAAACAGATGGGATCACAAGGAGCTGAGAGCAGACAAGTTACGGAAACGCTTGTTAAAAACACCAGTGAAGAAACAAGACATGGAAGCCAAGAGTGTCCAGAGGCCAAGGGTAACTACTGCTTTTTTTCTCTTCAGCCCGCAGAGAGCCTTACATATTTTCTCTGACAGTAGACTGAAATTTATTGCTAACGAGAATAAGTGTTGCTAATAGTATCAGGACTTGTCCTTGGAGCCGCTCAGTAAAAGAACCCCAGTGGCTTTGGCCAAGCTAAACCATTAGAGCCTCTTAGCTGAATAGTGTAAAGGAAATATGATAAGCAGCTTGCAAGCTTTCTAAAAGGCATAAGCTGCTATAATTGTCATGTCAAGGTTCACATGAGTTTAGCTGAAGTCCTTCAGTGCCTTGCTAAATTTATTTTGAATTGTCAATGAAATGAGTGACAGTCTCTGAAGGTCAACAGAAAAGTATCTGTAATGTCTGGCTGGCTCCTGGACAAGGTGGGTATTCTTACACACTGTACTGAAGCATTAGTAAAATGGAAATCATCTGTAGATTGTTACTTCTCAGGCCCCGTTCAACACAAATAAATACCTTTTGTCAGGACTTGCCTTATCTTCTGTTATCTACTGCATTCTACTTTTAATACAACTAATAGGACATGCTGTGAGGTAGTGTCAATAAATATAATCATAACTACATATTAATGTTTTAGCTGTCAAGAAAAGAGGGATCTTGAGTGTCTGAAAGTGAGTTCAGTTCCTCGTCACACTTTCAAATGATACTTGAGTGAATGGGCTGTGTATAGTGACATGAAGTAGAAAACAACAGACTGTGTTGGCCAGGAATGCTCTTTTGTTATTGCTGCCAGAGCCCATGTGGTGGACAAGGGGTTGTGAAAAGAAGCTGATGGAAGATTTTTGAGGGTGCAGTGCTGGAAACATTTAATGTGAATGTCTGATTTTCAACTAATTTCTTCCTCCAGGATAAATTTCAAACTCACTTGGTTTTCAATACTTACCTGTTTTGCCTGAAGACACCTTGCCAGACTTGGTGTATTTGGCGATAACATTGCCATGCAAACTCCCTGGGACTGGGCATGGCAAAGCTGGCTACCCTGGGCTGCCCAGGCAGCCAGCTGATGAAAGAGTTGGATATCTCAGGAGCATAGTTACTTTAGTGTTTTCAGCATCTCAGCTTCCAGCTTGTCAGCAGGGAGCCTGGAAGCTCCAGGGCACCTCATGCTTCCCAGGTTTCTGACATGGACTTGATATCTGGGATCTGCAGTCCAAGACTCTGAAACCTCTGCAAATGCAGCTGCCAGCTCAGAAGCACTGAAATCAACTTAAGTGGGACTTAGGTTTCCACAAAGGCCCTGGATGTCTTAAGAGCTTACTGGAGGTTTTCCAGTTCTCTGCTGCAGATTTGGAAATCTGGGATGGGCTTAAAATTAACTTGAAAGCCAACCAGTCGGGATTTTAAATTATTTTCTTTTAAAATCCTGTAATAGACATATTTAAAACAGTGAAGAAAAATTCTTTCTCATAGCCAGAAACTTCAGATCTTTGAACTACAGACCTGAAAGACAGGAAGGGTTTGGTTTGGGAAAAATGTTTGTTTTATGAGAAAATATATCCCTTATCTAGGTGAAATTTGCAATGCAATAGAAATTTTGTCAGGGTGAGGGAACTAATTCTTTGATCTAAGAACTGAAGAATAGGTATCAGATCAGTTTATCTGTAATTCTGTTGCTCTGTGATAACAAATTTCTCTTTTTTAAAATAAAAGTAATTCATATGTTGAGAATCACAGGAAGGGAGAGCATCATTTCTTTTCACTGGCTATATCTGCCTTAGCAAATCAATCCAGTGTTTTACACACCTTGAATCTCCTGCTGCATCCATTAATGTTGGTCAGCAGGGACCAATCATCCCAATCCTTCTAGCCAGGAACCAAAATCTTTTAGTGGGTAGGGGCCATACAGCAGAAACTGTCCTTTGGAGGGCTGAGGTTGGGAGAAGAGTGGATCCAGGGAGAAGATGATAATGATGCTGCAGGGATCCTACAAGAGGCAGGTTTGGGGATTTGCTGTCACCAGGTCCTGCTGCCCCCACTATCTCAGGAGCCACTTTGTCAGCCCGGCTCCATCACATGTGGTTACAGAGCTGCAGTCAGACCGTGCTTGTGCCGGAGACACGTGTAATGTTATAGCTCTACTTAGAGATTAAAATATGAAAAAAAACCCCAAACATAACAAGAAATTAGAAATAGAAAAATGGTGTACTCAGAGAAATATGGGTGACTGCACAGTGTAGTACAGCTGTTGGAGTTGCACTAAATAGGCCTCTGATTTGAATGGAAAAGCATTTTTTCCCAAAATTTACTTCATTTTTTTTCTCTCCAAATTTTACTTCATTTACAGATCCACCCAGAAAGTGTTCCCAAGAAGTGTACAAAAGTCTCTTTAATAAACTGCTTTCATTCAATATATTTATTCATTTGTTAAGCAAATTCTAGGTACCTGGAAATGAGATCTCTGGAATACCCGGAGGTGGAATCTAAACAAAGGCACTCTCCACCAGGCTGGGAACAAGAGGACGTCTTCACCGAGCTCAGCATTCCCCTGGGTACGTTGGGCCGCCCACTGCAATACCCAGGGCTTACAACAAGATGTCACTTTAAGGCTACTTGCTATATTTATTTTTCGGAACAGATGTGAGGAGAGTGAAGGAACAGGGTATATGACAGAGGGATAGCTGTTGAAAGAAAGGGTCTTTTGATTATAGATCATTGCTAATTTCATTCCAAATGAATGGCAAAATGTAGCTGTTAATGTCACTGGTGAGGTGAAATAAGTTTTCCTTTGAATGATATATGAAATACATATGAAAAAATACTTAGTAATTTACAAGTCTTTGTCATAAAATTGTTGACTATCCTTTCAATATAAACAAAAGTATTGGGTTTACTGTGTAAATACTGATTATGAGTAAAACACTTGGAAGAAGTACATCCTAAAAAGCAATTTTTGTAATTTAAGCATGAATTTACTGCTCATAAGTACTATTGCTTTTCTAGCCCTTGAGGTTACAGAGTGAAGTTTCCAGTCAGTATTATGTGTGAGAAAGTGCATTTTAAAATATGTATACCTAAGAGAGAAAAGAAAGGTGTATTTGCAATGCACAGGATTTTAAACTGCAGCTCAGTATTGCAAAATTAGGGAAATTACAGAAGCGAATCCAGGATTCAGTCTTCCTGTCCCTGTCACTAAACAGCACCTTTTTTCTTTGAAAACAAGTTTATTGTGGGAGGGGTAAGGGTTTCAACTGGCACTTTAATGTAATTCAGAATTTCTCAATAGGTGTGGAATTTGTGGTGCCTAGAACTGGCTTTTACTGCAAGCTCTGTGGACTCTTCTACACAAATGAAGAGACAGCAAAGACAAGTCACTGCAGGAGTACTGTTCACTACAAAAATCTTCAGGTAAAAACAGACTTGAAGCTACCTACAGCAAGGATTCTGTGTAAGGTAGAGGATGCAACAAAAAACTAGCTTTTACTCTGTGGAGAGAATTCAGATGAAGTGAAATTCAGATAAGCAAACTTTTCAGTAGTTCCAAGCATTAGCACACTGATTTCTCACTCACAGATCCTTGAAATGAACTTCTGAATCATAAGTAAAATGGGGTCAGGTGATAGTTTGGTCTTCTAATCTACATTTGACCCTTGTCACTAGCACAGCATGCAACTCAGATCTTTAATTCTCTGCTCTTGGGGGTCCCAGACGTTTCTGTCGCCAGGAGTGGGCCCTGCAGCAATCTTTATTATGTCTTAATTTCAGGAGCACTAAACATGTCACTTGTTCAGTAGTGTTGCCAGACTTATTTTTGCCCTGGTGTGAATTTGTGCAGCGTGTTTCAGCACGCAGTGCTCCGTGACGCACAGGCATTTCCTGTGACCCGCTGAAATCACCCCCGTGCGCTGCAGAGCAGCCACAACAGAGCACCACTGCTGAATAATTTCTATAAGGACATGCACAAGCATGTCATTACTTGTACGGTTTCCATAAGAATATAACATGAGCATGTCAGCAGTTGACACTAGCACGCAGAGAACACGTGTGCCTGCAGTTCAATGAAAAGACCCTGCCTTTATCGCTTTCTGATGCACTGTGTATAGGATCAGTCATGAGCGTTCACTGCCCCGTGCTGAGGACTCCTCAGAGAAGGTGGCTCTGCCTCTCAACTCCAGTCCCTGCCTGTGAGCAGGGGGTGTACAGTGCAGAGGACACTTGTGTTGGCATTCTCACTCGTGTTGGCATTTTCATACTCTTAGCAAAAAGTCATGAAAGAGCAAAGCACAGCTGCTCCTCCTTTCTCTGTTCCTTCCCTCTGCCCACAGTAAATACTGTAACTCAGCTTCTCTTCAAGTAATAGCTCTCTTTCCTTAGCTGGCTAGTAGGCATTGAGTTTTCCAGTGATGCTCAGAGTCAAATAATTTCTCTGAGAGAATTTTCTTCATGACTTTCCAGAAGTTCCATAACTGTAATCATACAAAGGCCCCTAGCTTACAAAGACTGGGCCTGCAGAGCTGTGATGCTTGCTCATAATGGATCCTCCAAATGCAAGCTTGAAAAGCAGGTGGCCGGTTTGCATGCCTTTTTGATGCTTCGTACAAAAAAATCCAGAGGGATGCACCAGAGGTGGCACCACTCAGTGCAGGCTGTGTATCCTATGCAAGTTTGTCCTGAAGAAACTCATACTAAAGCAAAGGTAGCAACTCCAGCCCCTGCCCCTGGAAACCGGTTCCATGGGAAGAAGAGGAATTTTTTTTTAATTTTCTAAGTTATTTCGTTTAAGTCATAAGAAAAAACAGTCCAACTAAAACTGACTTAGTGTGAAAATAACCTCTTTTTCTCCCTGTTATGACATTTCCCTTGAGTGCTGTGGTTGATAACTAACACTGAGCGGAGATAAAAAAACAAAGACTATAAAAGCTGTTAAAAATAAATCTGTCAAATGTGGTAATGAAAACAGACTGTTCTGTCGAGGCCTACCTCTTATCTTACTAAATACAGGAAGTAAATATCTTGGCCAACTTTTGCCTGCTCAAGTGGAAACTTAGCAAATTTTAAATAATTGTTCTGTGTTACTGGAACCCTTTTAGTTGCAATAATGCTCACTTATGCACTCTGCAAGAAATGTCAGTCTTCTCCTGTGATGATGCAAGTTAATGAGTGTATCCACCAATATAGGAACTTGGAACTATGACTGTGTGTGAAGCTATGGGAGTGCTGCTGCAGACTGTGTTTCTGTTCTCTTGCCTTCATCCAAATACCACCTTCTAGTGACAACAACAATGTTACAAATGCTGTCACGGCTTTGAGTCTTTTATAGCTGATTTGCTACTTGTTGTCTTTCATGTGATCTCCTTGAACCACATGCAAAATGTATGCTCAGTGTTTGGATTTGAATGCAAAACTAAACAGCTGGTTTGCCAGTTTTCTTCCAAAAGTCTTTTTTATATGATGACAATTTTGTCTTGAAGTAAAATAGTCAGCTTCATCTGAGTATAATGTCTCTTGAAGAATAGCAATTGCTGACAAAAAATCAAATGTTTCTTTGTCAGCCTTGCAGACTTCTTGCATTTTTCAGTTCTCTTCAGCTTAATAAATGATTTTCCCAGTCAGTGTTTATATTCATAGATCCGCTGTGTTTTCCATGTACAAAAAAATCCATCATTTGGCCATCACTACCACAAAAAGCTGTCAGATTCATCTGGTGGAAGCTACCTTGGCAACTCAGTGCAGCATTTTATCCTGTTTTCCAGGCATTCATCAGAACTTGAATTTCAATGAAAAAAGGCACAATTTTTGCTTGACTGCCATTTTGCTACAAATTAATCTGAATGTGTGAACTTCAAAACTGGTGTTTGTGGTACTCATGATAGATAAACATGGTGTATAAAACTCAGTCTTATTTTGGTTGGTAATCATTAAAAACCAAAAATGCATGGGTTATCTAATCCAGTGACAAGCGTTAGTGATTTATTACAGTCCATGGTGTACAGAACATGTCTTCCCGCCTTTATGGACCCTATATCTCTGCATGATATTGTAATATTTACTCTGGCTTTCTGCCACATGGAATTTTGCACCCAGAGATCAAAAATGAGGGTTGTGTAATTTCCACAGCCAAAACTCTATATTCTGAATAACAAGGACACAGTTGTCACTTTGTCACGGATATGTCCATTCATTAACAGCACTGAGACCCTTTCAGATGTACCTCTTACACAAAACTTGTATTTACGTGACAGAACCTGGCAGTCCTAACACAGCTCTTAGTGTTTTTACATCCATTTTACATTTCACCTCTTCCCCATGAATGCCAAAAAGCAAACTGTAGTCTGGGGGAATCCTACAAGTAGATAAAATTTTGCAGTGATGTGGGATGGTCTTTTCAAAACAAATCAGAATGTGTAATTAGCTAGAAAAGGGAGTTTTATGATCCTAATAATGTGCAGGTCAGTTATTCTTGCATGTGATAAATGTGTAAGTCATTAATAAGAATACCTCTGCATGATTATGCAGGAATTTCCCACGTGTCTCTACACTAGCTGCTGCTGAAGAAGCTTCTTTCCATCCATTTCTATGTCTGCTGACCATGAATAAATACTTTGAGCACCATTTTCAGACCCACACCTATTCATCATCCATTTTGTGTGCAGCTCTGCCAACTAAGAGCACTGCCAAAAGGCTGAAAGCCTCACTGGCCATGTCTGTTTTTTTAAATCTCACTGAGTACTTAAAGCAGTGAAAGGCTTTATCTTTGAGAAACACAATAAATGTAAATACTCCAGCCAAGCTGCTAAATTGTGTTAGTTATTACTGAGTGTGATTATTCCCTTAAAACAAAATGTACGAAAGGTGTATCTCTGAACTGGACACACTGAACATGTAATATATATGCTTTAAATTGTGACTCTGAAATTGCATCTGTTTTCTGACATACCAGTACTTTCCTAGCATAATTCAGTTGACTCAGTGGAGTTAGTTCCTGCTCTATAGCACATGGGAGTAGAGAATAGGTAAAGTCAAGTTACACAGTTAGACTGATGGGAAGCAGAGGCCCTCCTAGTTCTGTCACTACTTCCCCTTGTGAACCACTGAATTTCTGAGGCTCTGAGTGTATTCAGGTAGTTTGCCTGACACAGCCATATTTCCTGGCTTGAGCTTTCACCAAAGTGGGGCTTCTGTGTGCTTTCTTCCCTTTTGACATGATGGAAGAGTGAGAGCTCTGAAAAGGTATAAAGAATTCCATGTTGAATATTTTCAGTTTTGGTAACAATGCTTTGGTTTTTTTATGTGATTGCAGAAGTATCTATCCCAACTTGCAGAAGAGAGCCTGAAAATGAAGGAAGAAGGCAGCCATCTGCCTCAGGACGACACTGGCATTGTTCCTCACTTTGCAAAGAAAAAACTATGATGCAGATGAACTGGAAGAGCTATAATGAGTGAATGCTGATATTTTATTTTTTTTTAATTTCTATGATATAACTGTCAATTTGCACTGTACAGAGGAGGGGAAATAAAGAGCATGTTTCCATGCATCTATGCCCAGAGTGCCATTAAAAACCAAAATGCCTGAAACTGTTTCCCACGGTGAAGCAATGCTGGCATATCTGTAAGAAGTGGAGCAATTCTTTCTCACACTCTGCGTGCTGGGAGTGGTTTCCTAGATTAAATCAGAATTCTCAGGGATTCTTAAAGTTTTAATTCTGATGTAACACATCAGGTCAGGCAGAGTACTTAGAAGCACTCAGCATCCTCCAGTGGACGCTGGAAGGAAAGGAGATGTGACTATAAATAGGCTTTAATGTTGCTTAAAATATCTTCAGCCATTTCACTCATTGCCCCAGTGAGAAGTAGGATTTGCATAGGACATTTAAAGCCATTGTGTTAAAACTAGTGAGTAGATGGCATAATGTAAACCCCATCAGCATCCACCTCCATGTCTTAGAGCTTGGTGAAATGATAAAATGTTTGTGTTGTTAAGTACTGACTGTACAATGCAGGTATTGTGAACACTGAGGGAGCCACAGTCTGTCCCAGGGACCTCACAGCCTGAACCCAGTACCGCAAGAGCAGTTTGAATGCACATGCTGACAACCAGCCCGCTCTGGTTTCAGCATTTTCCGTAGCGTGGTCAGGATGTTCTCCAGGTACCACTGTGTTTGAAACTCTTGTTTTTGATAATTCTAAAGGGTGCCAACTTTGAGTCTTACAGACTTGAAACTCTCACGAGAGGCTTTTTAAAGTGCCACATGTTTGGACCATGTCTCTTTTAGACATTTTACTCAAGATCCTTGCTTTTGGGGTCTTTTTGTTTTCTTTAAAGCTTGCTTTTCCTCAGCTTGGCAACACTGAATTTTCCTGATTTTCATGGAAAGATGCCAGAATTTTAATATTGTTTTTGTATTTTATTTCCCTGAATTTTTTAAGGTGAATACAACTACTGATGGCTCACGGAGTGCTGCACTGAGAACACAGGATGCACCAGCAGCTCTGGCATTATTATGAGCTATTGTTTCTGCACAGTTGTTGCTTAGTATTTTGCGAAGTCCCTTTGAAATGCACTGTACAAGTTTCTGGTTCATTTCAATAGGGCTTTGTGTACTAAAGTGAATACTCATGCAAACCATTGCCAGAATTGATCCCAGAGTTTATAAAATGTCCCATGCAATCTGGGCAGATGGGGATTTGCAGGCGCATTTCCATTCTCTGCCTGACTCTAATATTCATCACGGTATGTTCTGTAAAAATTGCTGGTGCTGGATGTCCTGTTTAGATGTTGTGCAGAGGAAACAGATTCTATCCCTAAGAATGACATGGATGTTGCAAAATATTGCAAAGTGGCTAAATTGCCAAAACTGCTTTCACCAAAGTATTTGTGCCCTTATATCTTGTGCCATGCTCGTTCTCTGAGGTACCCTGTAGCCAGGCAGTGTGTCTCAGAGGTGCCTGGTGTTGTTGCCTGAAGCCCTGCTCCATTTCATGGCCTGTGCTTTCCACTCGTTTTTACCAGAGGTAGGTTCAGATTTCATATTTGGAATTCCTGCTTCTTGCAAGTTGAGGGATTCTTTGCATCCCAGATTCAGACAGGGCCAATCCAAAAGAAAAGGGGAAATGAAAAACGTTACAGCCTAAATCCTCCTTTGTCCAAGCTCGAAGTATGTGAAGACTTGGGTCCATCTGTCATTTAAAACAACCTACATTTTTTTGTTTTTCCCCATGGGGAAAAAAAAAAAAACAAACAACAAACCAAAACCAAACCAATATTGCAAACCAGGTATTTTTCCTTCAAGGGTTGGGTTTTTCTTTGACTGTTTGTTTTTCACACTGCAGTGAAACTTGAGCACAGGGCTGTTAGGACAAGAGCTTGTATTGCAGGCTGTAAGATGATGAAAATGGCAGTAAAGATTGTGCAATTGTCTTCTAAAGTGCAGCTCTCATGTATCATCTGAATATGAAGTTCCCTTCATGCCCTTCAGCACAAACTGAGCACTGGGGAAGGAAATCACTACAAATGCAAGCATCAAATCTTTGAAGCTAACCCTGCTATCAAACCGGGGCTCTCACCGGCCTAATGGGAGCTTGTTAGACCCTGTGGTTAAGCTTAATTGGACGTGAGACATAGCTGACTGTATATCAAAGTCATATGCCTCCAGCAACTTTATCCCCAGGTAACCTCAAATGAGAAAAGTATCACTGTTATTATTCTTTATTTGTATTGCAGTAGAAGCTACAGGTCCACTGCCTTTATTATAGGCAAGGCACAATTCCACAACAAAGACTTTCCCAGGCCAAAGAGCTTTAAATCACACTTTCTGAAAACAGACAACAGGTGGATACAGGCAGGCAGGGAAAGCAGCAGGTAACCATGAGATTTTGACTGGCAGCAGAAGAATAATTAAAATGAGAGTTTACCCAGGGGCTTATTTTTGGATTTACAAGAGATGATTCAAACTACTTTTCCCCTTCTCTAGTTCTGAACCAGGTTCATTCCCATTATTCACAGCTTGCATTTAACCTCCTTTTTTTTCCTGGCCAGTTGCATTAGAAGTGCAAAATCCCATCTTGATATAGTGGGTCTTAGAAACCTTCCCTATTCTTAGGGTTAGAGTTGCTGTTAGGGTCACTTCAGTTTTGGTCTCCATCTGGAGCTCCAAAAGCTGGAGTCTTGACCAAGCTCACCAGGAACTGTCTGGTCTCCAGATCCCCTGCTGGGGTCACGGGTGCAGGCCCTTGCTTGTCACTGAGGAAGGAGGAGGCTCTAGATGGCATCTAGGCCCTGTGCAGTTTCCTCTGCTGGAGGTAGATGATTCAGATGAGTGATGCAGAAGCAGAGCCCAGTCCTGAAGATGTGATCAGACCCAGACATTTGTAGAAATAGATTGGACACCCTGTCCCTTTGAGTTCTGTCCTGATACAACAGCAATCTTTAAAATCCTGGGAATGGCCAAACAGGCAATTCTTCTTTCTGAGAAGGTCTTTTCTCCCCCTAAACCTCAGCATTTGAAAGCAGTTAAAAGCAATCCCAAATCTCAACGAGCTCCTAACAATCCCCATGTTCAGTTTTCAGCCCGATGCACTTCGAGAACTGGGAGATAATCTCCTTCCCTCTCCAACAGGCCATCATGCAATGCTGACAGGCACTCAACTCCTCAACTTCTCTCTACTACCTATTTTGCTGAGGAAGAAGGCTACTGTAGGCAGCCCCTTACCTTCCTCAGCTTGTGTAAAAATGTGTTGTTTCTTTTGGTTTATTATATTTAAAATCTTGACTTTTTTTAGTTGGCATAATTCTTCATCACTATAATCCACGCTGTTTATTTATATATCTATATATCTATATATATATAGCACAAAGAAGGCTCAGGTCTAGCCAAACAAATATTGATATTTAAAAAGGAGCTTCCTTAATATATACAAACCATTTCAACACATCTCAACCAAAGATTGCACTTTTTTAATAGGGACTGTGTTTTTCAACTTTGTGAAATCTGTATTGATCTCAAATAGTCTTTAATGTCAATCTGCAACTTACTTTCTTTGAAGTAAAAATTGAAAGAATTTAACATTTGCCCCGTAAGATTAGACAAAGTTTCATATTGGCTTTAACACTAAATTAGTGTTAGGCTGGTTATATTCAGGGTTTTTTCTATTCTCTAAGGATTAAGGCTGTGATTTGTTGAATTATACTTGAACTGGACCAGATGTACTATTTATTGAGCTTATATAATCTTGTTAATTTAAGTTTTGGCTTGTAAACAGTTGGAATTTGTTAGTACTTGTTTAATTATGTAGGAACTGTCACCAGTATTAACTGATCTGTGTAACTGATTGCAAAGTGTTTCAATTTGTGTTTCTTAAAAAGAAAGATTTTAATAAAGAGAATAATAAAGCATATACATTGGTGGGCAGTTGTCCCAGCAACAACTTCTAGCTTCCCAAGGGATCTATTAAAAATCACAAATGAATTAAAAATAGTTTGGGGGGTAAAAAGGAAGCAGGGGGATAAAAGGTTTGCTTTTAAATATAATTTCTACAAGTTGTGGTTCTTAGCAGGCAGCTCCCACTGTACAGATTGAGAGTGATTGCCATCATCTGGTGCTGAAGTTGAAGTGAACACATCTCAGTGGTTCACTCTGTAATTATTATTAATTGTTATTACCCACTCCTGTCCCTCTAGATATGTCCTCACTTCCCTTTTTCTCTTAATTTGTGACTGAACTGGGCAAGCTGTGTGTCCCCACTGGCTTTTCTCTGTCTCCATCCAGGTTATCTTCTCAGCCTTCTGAAAGCGCCATATAAAATCTTCCCCAGCCAGGCACTTTCTCCATCTCATCTCAACCTAAGTCCCCTGTTTGCCCAATTACTCTGTTTCCCTGTGCTCTCCCTCTGCCTTTGCTGGGTTTTGTTCTTTTCAGCAGACCGTCCTCCCTGGTGTGCCCCCAGCTGTACAGGGACCTTTCCCGCTCTCTGGCCTTCCCTCTGGCTCACTTCCATTGCCACTATCTAGAGCTCCTGGGAGGAAATAAAGCTCAGTCAGAGTGATGTAAAGACACATTTGTACTAAATATTTAAAGAATGCAGTAAGGACAAAAGCTGAGGGGAGTCTTTACTACGAAATTTGCTGAATTCATTCAGTGGAAAACACTGGGAGGAAAACTGAGACAAGGCAAGGTCCAGTCCTTGTGAAGGCAGGGCATAGGGCACTATCAAAGCACAAACTACACCTCCCACCACCCACTGAGGGAGGGAAATGGATCCATCTGCCCCACTGAAAAGCTAAGGAAATCAGTCATGGGCAAAAAGGCTGGCACTTGGGTTTTCTGGCTCCCCAGTTCCTTAAATCAGTGTATCTTGTTTTGCAGGTGAGGTACACAGGTAATGTATTTTAAGCACAAACAGCTTCAGTTCTTCTGTCCTGGATATGTTGAAACCTTCTTTTATGTGATACTGTCTCATTGGATCTATGAATCCCTCACTCTAGAAATCAGGCAAATTGACATCATATATCCATAACAAAAAAATTAAGTTGAAACCGTGGTGTTCAAACATAATGTTTCAAGTCCAGATTTTGTCAC